GGCGGGAGGGGCGGCGAGCGGCGGAGGGGAGCTCGGCTGCACCGGGCTGTCGTCAGGAAAATGCCTTAAAACAAAAGAAATTAATTAATTTTTAAAATCAAACACACACACACACACACCCCAACGTCGGCAGATGAGGAAATGGGGGCTCCCAAACCCAGCGACAAATGCCAGGCGGTATTTCCACCGCACCCCTGATTACCTGCGATAAACGCCCCACAGATGACTTCTGATTCCTGGGGTGGTTATTCTGGGCAGTACATAAACTAGTCCGCGGTTTGTCAGTGAAATGAGTCTCGAAGCACAGAACTCTTTCCTTGCCTCGCAGGTCCTGTTACCACTAATGTGAATTGTTTTGGCATAGTACCTGCCCGGTTTCTGCTCTCAAAAATGGGAGCTTCACCCATAATAGCACCTTCCGTGACATTGCAGACTTCAGGAGAGTTACACCGGAGATGAATCATTCCTAGCTGCAATAACTGCATTTGGCTGTACAGAATTACTGAGCAATCCAGCAAAGTCCATCTTTTAACAGCCAGAGCGGGCTACCAGCAGCATCATCTCCCAGTGCTACAGGGCGCTTTCCAAGAGGATCCAGCCTGCAGCCATTCCACCCCTTCCCATTATTGAAAATATTTCAAGACTCTTCCAAGAGAGGTGAGGCCACAGCCTTGAACACCTTCCAAGGAGGAAACAGGGAGTTCACCTCTCTGATTTTCCTAGCACCATGGAAGCCAGACTGCTCCAGACAGAGGCACCGCGCGTTGCAGGGTGATGTCAGTCAGTGCTGCTGTCTTCCAGATAACTCATCTGTTAGATATTCACTTCTCACATCTTCCTCCTCCTCACTGTCGTGATTTGATTTACTAAATGACTTACAACCATAATAAACATTAAGGCAGGTCACTCTTACAGGCATTCATTAGGTGTAGCAGAACAAGACAAATCTTGGTCTAAAAAGGAGTGGACAACATATGAACTATTATTCTAGGCAGAGATGGCAGAGCTTATAATTTTCCATCCCACATCCCTATATTCATCTGATTATGATTTTGCCAAATTTAAATCATCCAGGTGGAAAAAATTCAGTTCTGAGGGAATCTGCCTCACGCTGAGTGTGTTTAAGGTTTCAGCAAAACTGGTTTGACTGTTTCTGAGCATTGGGTTAGAGAAAAGCAGATATTTTTTTTTGCTGGCATTTAGACACCCTTGCCTTGTACTGAAAAACTGAGGTGCCCCACCTGAAGTGTCCTGAAGGGAAACTTCAGGAGATGCAAGTGTCTGGCAAAATGTTGGCCAGGGGTTGCCTCTTTGATTCTTTTTTTGCTCTTCAACCCAGGGCTGTGGTTTACAGTTGTGCAAAATAAAGATCCTAAACCTGCAGAAAGATGGACACTTTGGAAATGTTTAGGTCACTCGTGTGCCTGACTTGGCTCTCCAATGATTTGAAGAGCTCTTTCCTGGCATGAATTTTTGTGGTATGAGACACATGCTGCCACCAGCAAGTGCCCTTTTCCTATATGCTGTCACAAGCTCTGAGAAAACAAAACAAAACAACCCCCCAAACCCCACCAACAAACTACAGAAAAGCTTTAATGGTTCTTTTGAGTCTTGTCAAGGATTTCCAAGCCAACACATGCCAGATCCTCAAGAGAGCACATTGGTAAGGTGCCTCCATTTCCTCTAGCCCCCAATATTGTTAATATCTCTTCTGGGACACCTTGACTTGCAATGTGGGATATGCAACATTTATGGTTCTGTGGTAAAAGGAAGGAACACATGGCCCCATATTATGAACATAGCTTAATACCACTTTCTTTCAGGACTGGGCTGTCCTAGTGATTACTGTGATACCAACTTCTCTAAACCAAAGTTTAATTCAGCTGAAGTGTGACATAATTCACCAGAGTTTTCTTCTGAATTGCAAAGAGGCATCCTATGAAACTACATAGTCTTTAGTGTGTTTTAGAACACACTTTCTTAAATCTTTCTTGGCCCGAAGAGTTTCTTACCTGACCATTATGAGAATGTGGTGAACAATGCTATGAAAAACAAAGCAATATATTGTTCCTTACAGGCTTGTATTTCCTATATATCTGCCACCACAAACCATGAGCTATTTTGGATCCAGCCTATAAGTGCAACTGAAATCTGCTTGATTAATTATATTTATTTGAGGTGATGGCAACTGTAACATGTTAAAACTTCTCTATATTCTTACATGTTGGCTACACACATAAAGATTACACCCAAAAACACATATAATTCCCAGGGGCTAGACTGTCTCTCACCTCTTGCACAATCATTTACGTAAGTGCAAACTGAATATAAAATGCTGCTAACACAGACTGCTGGCTACCGTACACCCACTCTGTGTTGATATAAATGACTATAACAAGATACCAGACAATGGAGAATCTGCCTAAACTACAGTGATGAAAAAACATACTTTTTTTTACAGAGTAATAAGAATACAAAATATTGTATGTTTCAAAGAGGACTTGTGCAGCAAGATTTTTCCCTGTAACAGTTCCAATGGGTCCAAAGTACACACAGCTAAATTTGATGTCAGTAGGAATTAGGTATGAATAGGGAGTGTTACTTAGTTATTTTTGTTAATGTTTTCCAGAGCTTACACATTCACTCTACATTTTTTAGCAAACTTTATCATTTTGGCATCATAAAATCAATCCCTAGGTAGGTTTGTTTTATCTGGAGCTGATACGCACATGCAGTTGCTGTTAATAGTCAAATATAGAAGCTTACAATAACAATCTAGCTAACTATTAATGGCTGTTTAACAGTGGAGTTAGAAGGATGGATCTGAAATCTGTCCTCATCTGAAAAATAGATTGCTAAACTCTCAGGTGCAGAAAATCTTCAAAGGCTTCATTTCCATGGGTAGGAGCCAAAATACATGGGTAGGATTGGCACTAAAAGGCTAGAGGAGAAATTGCCTTAGAGACAAATTCAGAGCTTGTGTAATGGCTTTGGAGTCCATTGAAGCTGATGATTTTCATAGGTATATCATGTATTTTTTCATAGCAGAATGACAGAATATGTCTCAATGTCTGCACGTGGAAATATCTCGTAAAGTACAATCTTAAATGGCAGAAATGAAAGGAAGAATGGTTTTTCCCTAAGGCAGATATCTCTCCCTCTCATCCTGCCCATGAGCTGAGGTCTCCCTCTAATGGAAAATGTGTAGTCCAGAATTGACTGATGAAACACGGCAGCATCAGCTGCCCAGGGTACCTCAGAGGGTCACACCAGAGGCAACAGGAGAGTTACTGCTAGGTCTGATAATACTGCAGTTTCTTCGTAGTGGCAAAATCTCAGTGTCCCAGAATACTAGCAGCATTTTCAGCTACACAGAGGAAAATTAGCACCTGCCACCGAGAGCTTCTGCTTTGTGACAGTGACACAGGAGGACGCCACATCCTCTGGAAGGGCAGCAAAGCTGGCCTTTGCATAGTTTGCTGCACTCCAGGTGTAGAATCGGGAAGGACTGGCTTTTGAATTGTCCAACTCTGCCGACATCTCTGGTTTGGCCCCTGATAATGCAATTATGGAGTGGAGAGGAAACCCACAGTATTTGGGAGATAAAGCAAACCCAGGATACTTTCCCCAGCCAAAGTGGAGGGTAAGGTCTTCCACTCAATGTGTGGGATATAGGAGCAGTTGACAACCATCCTGGAAAGTTATTTTATTTTTACTGTTCTGAAAGCATGCATCATTTAATAAACAGAGCCTTGCTTCAGCTCTGTATTTACTGTTGTCTGTCTACAACGATGTGAGCTCAAGCTGGCTCAGAGGAAGGTGTAGGTGAGCATCCTGAATGGGTCTTTGCCATGTCTGGTTTCATTCACCCTTGCCAGCAATAATCACCTGTCAGGCAAGTCACTGTTCAAGTCCCTTCAGAGTCGGGAAATAGGGGGAATGCTTTTGCAAAGCTGCAGGCTTTCCCATGCTCTGTGATTTCATTTCATAGCCTTTTGGGGTTTTTAATTTTTCTTCCTTGGAGTCTGGTTGGGAAATTCGTCTTGGTTGAGCTATTTTGTTTTTACGCTTTGCTTCTCTGTGTCAGCAATGTTGGTCATGGAAACCTGTTGAAATGCTTGTGTAGCTGAGAGTACAGCTCTCCTGGTAGGCATGAAGTCGGGCTGATAGCAAAGTGCTTTATACCAAATATAATTACTCCTGAGCAGAAACTGGGACAACTATATATGCTGGGATTGCAATATCTACACCACAACTTGTACTCATTATAATACTTCTGGTGAAAGCAATACAAAAAATAACTAACGTTTGACATGAAAATAAATATGCCAATATAAAATCTGTATATATCTGTAAAATCTGTATTCAAAACATTACAGTTCGTTCCTAATACTGTAAGAATTGGGTTTGACTAATTTTTCAGAACAGCTGTTCTTTCTCAGTCCTTCCTCAGTTTGACCTTCTCATCATCTTACCTTATCCCAGTACTGGGGCCTGAAATTCTAAGTTCAGAGAGAGGAGTTTTAGTGTTGCAGAATCTAAACCATAGCCCAGATGTTTCCTTGAAGTCAAAGTGTGACATCAGAGCCAAACCCGATGCAGATGCTAATCTAAATCTTGATCTCGAACCATACTTTATTTATTTTAAAATGCTTGCTTTAAAACATTACAGCAAAATTATATAAAAATATGTTAATAGGGGTTTGAATAGTATCCTCAGCAGCTGGATAGATGATACTGAGCTGCTGAGAAGAGGCGGCCGGACTTCAACCCAGAGCTTAGTGCTGCATCCTTGTAGATGCTTGTACACTGCTCAGCTCAGCTGCTGAATTAGCAGAGTAATTCAGAGGCAGATCTACAGTCCACACTTCTGCACCTACATCTGCTGGAGCAGGTGCACGCAGGAAATGCCTGGAGAAGGAGCACCACACTGGTGCTCCCCGTCCCCAGCACAGTCAGCTAATCCCCACCGTTCAAAAGCAAGTCTGCCTCCAGGGACTCCATGGCAGCAACCGGCAGTGCACTTTGTGGGGGTCATTCATACAACGAGCAATGAGAAATGTTATGCATATGGGTCATACGCCAATCCATGCGGCTCTTCACATGTCAAAGTACAGTCAAAGATATAATCATTGTGTGAACAAACCCAGGAGTTCTAAAATCTGTTCAAACTCACTGGATACATAGAACATCTTGGGGAGGAGATGCAGAAATACTGCTGACCAGGACAGAGACTTCAGAGACACTGCAGATAGTGGGAGAAACCCACTAATTACAGAATCATAACAGAGCAAAATGATTCCTCGTATAATATTACCAACATGTACTAGAAATTAACTGGAGAAATATCTTCCTTTTACAAGAACACATTGTACACTGTCCTCTGTGTAGTTGTGTGTTTTAAATTTGTGTAATCTGACTTTAGGAAATATATACAATTTCAGTCATTTTCCTAAAAAGGTAATGCAAATTGAAGTTTCAGGATTAATTAACATGATATAACCAATTTAAACTGAAGGTAGAAGTTTAAATTTATTCTCTGAAGAACATCTGACAACCTGAGAGGAACTGGGTGAACCCTCCCGGACTTTTGCCATTACATTACCTTCTAGGAGATTTGTTCTGGAAGAAAGGAGGTCTTCTACAGTCTCAGATGCACTGAAAATCTGACCATAAGGAAAGGCAGGTTTAGCTGTACCATGATTACAGAATCAAGTCAGAATAGTTTACCTGTTAATAAGATAAATAATCAATTTAGTTTTAGATGTGCCTAAACCAAGCCCTCACTGCATTGCTTCATTTCTGTGGCTTCCCAAGCTGCATTTCTATCAGTTTTATCTCTTTCAAATTATGTTGCATTTCATCTCAGGACTGAATCTATTGGGAGACATGCCATTGCTCTTTATGGAGCCTTCATAGCACCCACCTGACACCTGTAAAATATTAAACTGTAAGAGTGTATGTTAAAGTTAGCTAGGATAAGTGTGTTCTATAGATAAACAGATTTGTTTGGGAGGGAGCACCACAGCCTGTCAAAGCCCCTGTCTGTATCACTGAAGAGTAAATTCCTAAAGAGTCAGGATGTTCTAGGCAACCATAAAATCACAGCAAGTAGCAGAAGTAAGTCATGGTGGCCAGGTCTGCCACATGGTACACACTCCTTAAAACCCTGCAGCATACTGTTGCAATTCTGTGCTTTTCATTGTCTGCCTGTTGGATTTTAATTTCATGCTGCAGTTGCATTTTCTACAGTTTTCTTCATATTTAGTTCATGTCTGGGCTTTGGACACATCAGTCTCCTTCTCTGTGGGTTTTGCAACATGAATAGCTTCTTAGGAGTACACAGAGACTTATGGATAAAGCCCAAACAGGATTAGTCCTTCCACATCTGCCTACACCCTAACTTAGACCCAGGGATGTGCTTTCTCCAGACAGTGTCTGAACTAAGGTCAAGGTCCTGCTGGCATTGCTGCAGACAGGAGTGTGAATGGGACATGAACAGTGCTTCTGTCAGCTTTAGGGACATGCAGAGCAACGACACCAATGGCACCAGCTGGGCTTTTCTGCTGGGCCACAAGCAGGTGGCTCAAGCCCCTCTTCATAGGGTGGGCAATGGCACTGATGACTTTGTGCCCACACTTCTTTCTGCTGGGCAAGAGCGTCATAACCTGTGTGCTCCTGGCAAACGTTACATGCTGAGACCTGGAATGCCCAGGTCAAACCCAGATGTGGGGCTAAACCAGGGATGATGAAGTATTGTTATTACACTTTCTTTCTGCTAAGCCCATCATTACTTATGCTACTCTCTTGTCGCACACTAACCTAATTTCTCTCATTCCTACAGGTTTACACTTAAAACATTAGTTAACAGTTCTTATGTCATCTTACTCCCTAAGTGTTGGTTAGCAAACTGTATGCTGTCAGCTCTTTATACTTTTTCTCATGAGCCAGCTCTTCCAAGCAGATAGCTACAGTTGGCTTTCCTTCTCTGAACTTCCTCTAGCTTGTCTTCCTGGTAACGAGGTGCAGAGAACTGCGCTCACCTTTTCCAGATACTATCGTGCATCAGTTCCAAGAAGAAAGGCTCACTCACTCTTTCCCTGTGGTGTGTCTCCACGAGAGCCCCAAATCATATTCACATTTTTAACCGTCATGTCACCTAGCAAATTCAAGTGCAAATTCAGAGGCCGTCCTTGCCCGGCACAGCAGTCAGCACATCTTTTCCGCCCTAAGAGAAAAGGAAGACAGCAGACCTTGCCTTTCTGACAAACATTGCCATTTTTGTAGGGAGCTCAGATTGTTTTCTAACTCTTCACACTAATCAGGTAAATTGGCTTATTTATGACAGGGAGAGAAACGATAGGAAGTACTAACTAACCCCGTACTGGTGGTCAGAGTAAAGCAAAAACAAAGCCAGTTTCCAGTTCTCTGTGCTGAGACTGATTTTCCATTGTCGTTCCACATTATCTTCCCATTTAAGTCTGCCCATGCAATTCTGTTGTGCATCCTGTAATTCTGTTTTAGTAGGTTTAAAACAAACAAAAGGAAGTACTTTTTCACACAGAGCATAATTAAATTGTGGAACTCGTTGCCATGGGAAGCGCTGGATGCCAAAAGTACAAGTGGGTTCAGAAAAGGAGAAGACAAATTAATGGAGGATAGGTACATTGATGAGTATTAAACATAGTAGCTTGATCACAGCATTTGGCTCAGGAAGCTCTTACGCTGCTGTTTGATGAAGGCAGGAAAAGATTTCTCTGTCTGTGCCTGTTTCTCACACAGTTCCCTTCAGTAGCCTCTTCTGGTCACTGGCAGGAGGAAGACATTGGAGTTAATGGTCCCGGTAGAGTGGCTCTAATGTTCCTTCCCTAACAAGAGACACAGATGTCAATAGAAGCCTGTAAGTTTAAAAAATTAATCTTTAAGCTGAGAATTGACTCTGACACTTCTGAATTTCTCTTTGGATGCTTCTATCAGATCTGATCCAGCTGACATTAATATGTGAAATTTACAGCAAAGTGTATGACTGAAATGGGATATTTTAAAGCTTCAGGACTTCTAGATTTGTTGGCCCAGCCAAAGTTTGATTTTGCAAATATTACAGGTCAGATCAACTTCATTGGAGACTGATGTTAAGAGGAAACCTGTTATCTGTGCTGTGAAAGTTGTATCTGCTCTTGGAGCTTGCTCCCCTCCCTGAACAAACGCTCCCACTGGCCAACATGGTGCCATCTCTTCTTGTTGACTTTGCTCCATAATTGCTGGTTTATCAGTCTCTCCTCAGACTTCTCAATTTGTCTTGACTGACAAGCAAAATGAGCAGTCATACATGCACACACAGAATCAGAAAGGAGAGGACAGCAGGCTGTCAGGGAAGGAGAAGATGGCAGGCTCGTGAGGCGGGTAGTGAGCCCTGGCCCCATGGCCATTGCTCTCCCCTGGCTGGGAAGCCTAACCTCACAGGCTGCACCAGTTGCTCCAGTCCAGGAGGGAGGGAGGGAGGGAGGGAAAACTGGCCCATAATTCTGATAGCATCATGA